TTCCATCGTTTTTCCTAACAATAAGGGGTAGAAAAATGGGGATGGCTTCCACGGAGGCTGCCCCCACTTTTTTACAACAAATGAAAAGTTAGCTTTGGAGTAATGCAATTTTATCACTTTATATGATCTGCTCTACACTAAAACAAAACTCTGAGAGCTTTTCCGAATGCTTGATTTTGTGAGGTACACTGAGGATAGGTAGTTCACCCTGGACGTGTCATCATGCAATTCATTTCATCTCCGTTGTAGAAGAGTTGCTTCCAGATCTCCAAAGCATTTGTAAAAACCTTTATAAGAATAATTCAAACACTCGCCAAGCAAGTAGCTCATCAAACAACATTACAACAATTACTCGAGCTTGGAAAAAAATTTTGGTTGGTGTGAGCTCAGAAAATCTTCAGGAAAAAGATCTTCATCAACACAACACTCTAAAAAATAATTTTTTTTTGCGTGTTGCTTTGATGTGCAGTGTGGTCCCTATAACATTTTCTAGACTCGATTCACGATGGTTTGCTTTAACATTACTCTTATAGAAAAGTGCTTAAAAAATCCAGTCTCCATAAGCTTCATGTTAAATCGCTTTTCATATTTGTTTGTTTGAAACTTGTCTAGACCCAAGGAACAGCAACAGCACATTAACACAACACGCAAAAAAAATTTTTTTTTTCATTCATGGCTTATAAGGAGCGTTGGCTCTTGTTGACTCCAACTCCTGAAAAATTATCCCAGCCCGAGATTCTTGATGATCATGTGTTATTCAAATTCGCTACTTTTTTCTCAACTCGCGTGTAGTATGAGCTCAAGCATGTGATTGCAGTCAGCAGAGTATGGAAAATGCTTACAAAATCACAATATGTGAGAGTCTCCGAGATTAAAATAAATCTGGTCAACATGCAACAGGATATTGAGGTCATTTCATCAGAAGTGCATCAGGTGATAATTTCCAAATTGAGAACATCACTTTCAGGTCAGCAAAATATTTTATCGCATGTCGTCATGCCCTGCAATTACATTTGTCGATGATGTGGTGCTCTAGAACGTTCCATTTTGTCTAACGTCAGGCCTTGCAGTTCCATTAGTAGACCCCGTGGTGTTCAAGAACATTCCATTCTGTCTGACGTCAGGCCCTTCAAATAGTTTTGTAGACTACATGGTGTACTAGAAGAGTTCATTCGGTCTGACGTCCAGTCCCTGCAGTTACATTTTGTAGAACCCGTTGTATTTTTCTGACAGTATAAAAGGACCCAAAATCCAGAATAGCTGTATCATTTAACATTTAGTCAGAGAATATGTCGGACAAGCTGAGACAGTTCATTTTTTCTCACCTCCAATACTTGGATGATGATCAGCTGCCATGGCACAAACTTCCAGGTAAAGGTAATGGGAGAGCCCGACGTCATCGATTTGAATTTCGATATGCCCTTGCAGCAGGAATTGGATCCGGAAGGATATCGAATAAATGAACGTGGCTTAGATTTGTTTATAAAGTTTGAAATGGGAGATCAGGAAATTTTCGGATCATCTGTATACCGTATCTGGAAGTGTTGCGGCTTGAAATGACTTCGAAAAGTCATCAAGCATTGGTATTTTGATGACTTTGTCTAATGAGCTTATCATCAAGGTGGCTCTTAAGATCTGGGGCATCATCTATTCTCTACCAATGGACAATTTGTTCTTCCAGGTGACAGAAACCTGCTCCGTCTGCTCAGAGCAGTGTTTCCCAAAGTGTGGTATGCGTATCCCCAGGGGTACGGGAACAGTTTAGCTGGGGTACGCGTTCTTATGCGAAATGTCTTGTAACAAACGAAAATTTCAAAATTTTTTATTTAAAAACAAAGCTAGCCATGAAAATTTACGATTACGTATGTTTCTATTGACTATTTTTTGCAGAATTAACAGTTAATAATTAGTGGTGTCAACAGCCAGCTGTGATTTTTAACTTTTGTGCAATTTTTCATAGTAGAAAATACATTCATTTTTTTATTAGTGGTACGCAGCGTTACGAAAAATTTCGAAAGGGTGCATAAAAGTAATAAGTTTGGGAAACACTGACTTAGAGGAAATGCTCTCAAAACCTTCACGCACTCCATGTGGTCACTTGCTTCACGTTGAAGGCCTGAGGATTTGTAATATTTTACATAACACCTGCCCAATGTGCTGGCAGTTGATTTAGATTAAATGTCAAAATAAAATGTCAATCAAAAAATGTGATAGGTAAACCTAATTGGAGACCAATCCCATTTCTCCCCTAATGTTTTCAAAACACTCGAGCTGAAAACATTGAATCTTTTTGTTTCACTTGTCGAGAGCCAGTTGTCAAGAGTCAGTTGAATGCGAAAAAAAAATTTCGAGTTGAAACACAACGAGTTGAAGAATTGAAATTATTCAATGTTGGCACTACGAGTGTCTTAAAAAATAGGACCCGTCCATTTTTTTAAAAAAAAACATTGCGAAATAAATAAAAAATTTTTTCAAAACAACATTTATTGCATGCAACAACATTATATGGATGGTGCATTCAGTAGAAATGTAAACAATAACAATTTCAAGCTGTATGCCTGCTCTAGTTCCGGTTAGAAAGTTTGCAGCTGCTTACTACATGTTATTCTGCCAGGCGATATTTTCAAACGGATAATTTTGTTTTCATTAAAAGAAATAAATTAGATAATTTCTGAGCTCAAATCTGCCGTATTTCATAAGATATTAATGTTATTATGTAATTCTGGTGAGTTTGAAGTGAAAATTTGCTTTAGTTATTTAGAGATATATTGTTAAAAAAGATGACATGGTTGCTAGATTTTGAAAAACTCGCTTTTTTGGCAGTCTTGATTTGGCCTCGTTCCATAAGTTTATTACTGTTTGTTCTTAGTGCAAGCTGTGCACCATCTTACTTTAGTGTTAACACTTTTAGCATTGTAAGCACATGTAATAAGTAATCAAATGCATTGTTTGCAAGAATCTCAAAACACAATGATGCCAAATGGCTTTAAAATACAACGGAAACAGTAACCCGGAAATTTAGGCGGTGCCGAGCTTGCAGCGTTACCTAGTGTAGAAAACACCATCCATACTAAAACTACAAAAATGACTATTTACTAAAAAATTTCAAAATGAGCTACAACACATGATAGATGGGTTCCATGGGCAAATGGAAAAATCGCGAGATGCCTTCAGTGACAGCAACCCACCTGTGACAATCCTCACGGGAACAAAAAATACATCATCCCGAGGGTTTAGCAGGTTTTAAAATCACAGTTTCAACTTCTTTAGCCAGATGGTATTCCGGCAAACGTTCTGTGACGTCTTTCCACTTTCTCTTGGCGATGGCAACTGTCAAAATCTTAAAGGCCACCTTCATCGGGAATAACTGTTCCAGCAACACTTCCAGTCAAATGGGTCCATCCATTCAATGGTAAATGAAACCACTCCTGGTGGTGTATTCATCGGATCTCAGGAGAACAACAGCAAAGGCATGGTTGTGGGTAGAATTAAAGTTTTTTTTGGCCTTGAAATGTATGATCGGCAGTCTCTGTAGCTTGGAATACATGTAGCCCCACTTGAGGCTTTGCTGGATTGTTCATAATCATTCAAACATAAAGTTTTGCTGGAGTGGCCTTTGTCAATATAATTCGTTTGCTGGAGCTGTTACTCGAAGGTTTGCTGCTTGGAATAGGTTTGCTTGGAGTAGGTTTATGCGAGCTTGGAGCTTTTCTGCTCGGAGCAGTTCTACTGAATGGAACAGGAGTACTGGATGGAGCAAGTTTGCTGGATGGAAGACTAAAACTGGAATCCTTTGAACGTTTCCTGGGACAATCATCTTTGGAATTCACGAAGAATCGTTTGACTGATGCGTTTCGAGCCAATTTGCGTTTCAGTCGGCTCCTATAATCTTGGGCTGAAACCGTAAGAATTCTATGGGGCTTGACTCGTTGAGGAGCCACCATGGCGATAGAGTGAGGCTTGGGTCTCACAGGCGCTGGAGATTTGGCACGAGGTGATGATAGAGGAGAGTTGAGTTCAAACAATTGCTCCGTGGGCGAAGGAGGCAATGGAGAAATGGGTTTCAGCAGAGGTTCACACATGGTGTTTAGTGATGGAGTTGGAGATGAATGAAATGCAGCTACCACAATGTCCTTGTCAGTCAATTTTCCTTTTTCTTCAGAGGAGGAAGACATTACAAAATCCAATAATTCAGACAGGCTTGCTGTAATGCTTCTCAAAAGACTGGATGCTTTGGCTCAGAACCGGAGCTCTTTATATATTGTTTGGGCAGGATGTTACGTCATACACTGTTTGTTTGTTAGTATTCTTGCAATTTTTTAAAAATTTTTTGCGCATCCATGTTTAAAAAATGACAAAAACAAGTCTTTCGTTAGAAAAATTTACTAAATGCTTGAAAATTGACAATATTGATAGTGTTCAGATTACAATTTTTCAGTTTAATTAATTTTTCATTGATGGATCACTGGTGGGAATTTTTTTTTTTTTTGATAAACTGAACGCTTGACATTTTTCAAGCTACGTGTTGACAGCGTGGATTACAATTCTTCAGTTTAATTAATTTTTCAATAATGTATTACTGCCAAACAAAATAAAACATTTAATTCACTGGAGCCCCCGGCCACATGGGAAAATATTTGTTTCAATTTTCAAACTTGCACAAGGGATTCAGAAGAATAAATTACTGGGTACTCCCGCAAATGCAATGGGAACCCGCATGTGCGTGGGGCATTTAGGTATAGTGAGAATTTTTCCAATGATGGGGGTTTCAAAAGCACTGTTGAGTGGATCGTTTTGATCTTGGAGTTTTTTTTTATGAAGGGCTCATGTTGCTCAGCTATTTTTTTTTAATGACTGTATTTCATTTATCTGGTTCCCATTCTTCTTCGACGACAAAGTGCTTTAATCGCTTGCACTGAGACTTTACTTTATTTTGATTTGAGATGGCAACAAGAAAGTTTGTGTATGAAACAATCTGGAAAGTGAGTACGAAGCACTAAGTTGACTCATAGCGTTGCCATGGGTGAAGTTTGTTGTAAACGTGTCTGTGTTGTTAGTTTGATGTCAAACTTTGCTTGTGCTGTTCTTGTGACAGACGTGTTGGATTATTGCCGGTTTAGAATGTTACACTTTTGGTTTTAATGAATGTGATTTATATATATGCATGTGGATATCAATAATTCCAAGCGAAACAATCTGTGATTGAAAAAATTATAAAATTATGTTTGTTCTTGTTTGGAAAAATATATTGTGATTACCGTGAGGTATGTCAAGTTAACAGTTGTGTTTCAAAACATTAAGTTACTTGAGAATTTTATGATATGGATTCTGAGGAATTAAGTGAATTAGGAATGAGTCACATAGGTTTAAAAGCTCGATCTCCGGAAGGACATGCTGCTCGTGCGATGCACATTAAAGGAGATGAATATATTTGGGTTGAAATTCAAGAAAAAACTTTTAAAAATTGGGTTAATGAACAAATAAGACCCTTAGGCATGGTGATAGATAATCTTCAGACAGATATGAGTGATGGCTTGAAATTAATTGCTCTCATCGAAGTTTTGCAAAAGAGAAAATTGAAAAAAATTAGGAAACCTTTGAATCAACATCAGTGTTTGGAAAATGTTCAAACAGCACTCCAAGCAATGGCATCCGATAATATAAAACTTGTAAATATTGGTAAGTAGCAATTATATTCTGTTCTTAAAAACAAATAAAAACCATTTGTCATGCTTTAGAAAAATAAGATTTTCATCTGCAAAATGCATTTTAAAAAATTGTGTGTTGTTTTTCTTTGTGTCAAATATTTTTCATTCTATAGTATGATTGTAATTTATTATTAGCAAATTGCTTAATATACATTAAGTATATATGAATTATTTTTTAAATTATGTAATTTACTTGAATTATCCTTTATACATAGTTCATAAAAAATTTAAAGTTGAACCATACTATTCAGAACTGGCAATATTTTCTGTAGCAAACCCAGGATTGTTAAAACTTAGGATTATCTGAAATTCCTATGCATCTATAAAAAGAAAAGTTAAGGTTGTATCAGTATTGAAAATTATAGACACACTGCTAAGTAGCAGTATAAAATAAACCATGATGCTTTTGGACAATTAAAATTTTACCCATATAGCCATAAACCAATAATTAGAAGTTTCTTGGACTAACAACCAATCTCTATCAATCTGGTGTAAAGGGATGATATGTTATTGTGTGTCTCAAAATAACCTTACTTTATCGTAATCGTAAACATTAGAGCTGGACTCCGCGTGCAGGTCGTCGGGCTACCAAAGCGGGCATGCCATCCCCTCTGCAGAGGATCAAAATTGTGATGGCATGTCTTCGGATCATCCTCGGATGTTTCCCAGACTCTCGCCAATAGCCCATTGTGCAGCTCTAGTGCGATGTAAATGAACTACAACAACAACAAACATTAGAAATAACTTATAATTTTCGAAAATTAGCACCTTAATAAATTTTTTTTAACTTTAAATAATAAATATTATATTGTGCTTTACTTGTAATAAATTTGCTTCAAAACCTATTTATTATAATATAATAAAACTTCAATATATATAAAGTTTTCTTTTTTTTCTTCTTCAAAATTATTCGCAAAAGACTAAATATTGTATTAGTCATATTAAAGCGGTAAAAAATAAGAAAATTTAGTCACTGGTTTAAAGGATTAGTCCTATACCCATTTTCATTGATCCATTTACATGTCTCTATTACATTACAAAGAAAACAGAAAAAAGAACAAACAAATTTGATTTAAGAGTAAAATTTTAATGCAAAGAATTTGAAATCTCTCAATTATGATGGAAATAGGTTGTTTTGTGACAAGCCAAAGCATAAAATCAAAAGAGCATGCATTTTAATATCCCATTACATTGATTGTTGGTTCAGACAACTACTCATAAGTGATAATTAATTCATGGTGATTTGAATCAAACTTTAGTAGTCTTGAACCATCATTAATTTCAAGCTTTGATGTTAATTTTGTTTCATAATTTTTTTAAAGTAATTTTCTTAAAATCTATAAGGACTTGGGAACAAACCAGTAAAATTGAGTAGTCTAGTGGAATCTTTCGACGCCCGGTGGCTGAGCGGTAGCGCTTCACGCTGTCGTGCCACAGGTCCCTGGTTCGATCCTTGGGCCGGGCAAGGTTGACTCAGCCTTTCATCCCTTCAGTGGGTCGATAAATGATTACCAAGCATTGCTTGGGAACTAAACACTGAGGGTTCCACGTTCGGCTGACCACCTGCTCCAGCACCCCAGAGCCCAAGGTCAAGAAAACTGAGATGGGCACAGTAGGCCTTGGCCCTCAAGGGCTGTCGCGCCGCTGAGTTTAGAGTTTAGTGGAATCTTTCAGTTACTGGTTCAAGGGAGCAGTAATTAAATTTATTTAATCTAACAACACCAAAGTATTATAATTTGCTGATTAGTTTTTTAACATATCACAAAATTTAAGTGAATTCAGAGTTCTCCGTAGGATTAGAAAAGGGCACTTTTGAGTTTAAAAAAGGCTCGCTTATTTCCTTTAAAATGTATCAAAATTTGTTATATTGTGTAACAAATGAATTTGACCCTCAATTTTTAAATAACCTGATTATTCTATTTTAGGTGTATATTTCACAAAGTAAGTCTCACTTAGTATATCAAAGTAGCAGAAAAATGTGAAGCTATTGAAAGAATAAAAGAAAATCTATGTATAAATTTTCTTAGAAAAAAAAAGTCAACTAAAAAAAGGATTAATTGATAGCAATTTGAAAGCTCTTTTTTTATATCATGAAAATTTTAACTAGACAAAATAAGAAAAAAAATCTTCTAAAATGAAGGGATGAAATTAAAAATTAAGGTTAAATGATTATCAATAAATAAATAAATCGGAAGTGGACTTTTCTTTAAAACTGGTAATTAAGAAAACAGCTTTTTCCTGAAAAAATCTAATAAAAAGGAATTTAAGGAATACAGACCTATTTTCACACAAAGGGCAAGGAGGGCAGCTCCCCCATCTAAAAATGCTTACGAAAAGCACTGGTTAATTGAGTCATTGAAAAATAAATTTTTGAGCAAAAAATATAAAAATTAAGTATAATGCACTATCATTGAAATTTAAAGATGTTTTGTCATCTAATCTTTTTAAAAGTCAGTGCTTAATCTGACAAAGGTAAGCATATTCATATATTTAAGTAAAGCAGTTAAACTTATTTGTTTTCAGAGAGGGTTCGCGTGGATCTTTAAGTGCAAGCAGCAATATTTCCCTCCCCCCATAAATTGAGGATATTTATAATAAATATTTATGGGCAGGATTGCCAATCCACAAGGTGAACTGGCAAACCCTGAAAGTTTCAGAGAATTTAAAAACCACCCAAATTGACAGCGAAATGCAAGGAATTTTGAGTTTTTCTTTATGAACTAGGAAAATCAGGGAATTTTGTTTTTTATTTTCATCTTTTAAAAAATGGTGACCCCTCAAAGGGCAATCTATGGGATATTTAAGGAAGATATTTCAGCAATTAAACTATTTCATTTACTATAGCATTATTTAAGCATGTTTTCCAGCAATTAAAACTGGTATAGTTAGCCCAATATAGCTCATACAAGAGCATAATAATTCGTTCCTCTTAATACATTATGTATAATACATACAGGGAATTTTTTTGTTGATTTGAGTGGGAACCCTGACGGGGCAAAATAAATTTTATCCATAATTTTAAAAATAAGTCCAAGTCCACAAATTTTATTCATTAATTTTTTTTTATATAAAAGTGCAATGCAAACTACTTATATAGTGTACTATTATTTAAATTCGATTGCACAAAAAAAATTCCTATTCTAAGCGATTTCAGAAGAGCAATAAAAATATTAGATATCTATATTATATTTACATTTTTATCTACTTATCATTTATGCCAGGTATTTTTAAATAAAACCAAAGTATTGTTTGCCTTTAATTATAAATATTGCGTTTTCATGTTTTAAAATTATTTTATTTGATAATAATAATAAAAAAATTGGATAATAAGGTATGATATTTTTTTTTTGTTTTATTCTTCAATATGCCAAAATACAAAACATAAAAACAAATTATTGCAAAAAATTCAAAATTGCTCAAATGTATACGCATTGGATTATTCAGATGTATACACATGTTTTATTCAAAAGTTTCTTACTTGATTATGTGAATTCATTGCTAAATATTTATTATAAATATCAGTACATTTCTTTATTTCAATCATCCACCCCTATTCATAATTTTTTTCATGGATTGTTTCACACAGCATGGTCTTGAATAATCAGGTAAAATTTAATAGATAAAGATTGGAGGACTTCAATCACCCATCATAATTGCTAGACTTTACACCAAACAACTTTTTCCAAACATTCTCATCTCTATAACATTTCCAAAATGCCTCTTCCTATTTTGCTCAAAAACACAAATGATTTTTACAGTCCAGCATTTTAATTTTCTTGGCTAGATAGCAAAAGATTCCTGATAACGTGGACATTTACATCATTGATTAAAATAAAATAACTAGCTAAAATATATTGTATAATTTAATGTAACAAAAACGGCAATAAAATTACCAAAAAAGATTGATCATTAAAACTTAATAAAATACTAAAACTTAGAAACAAAAATTAATGTGATAAATGTCTTAATGTCATAAAAATAAAGAAAAAATTTTCTGCTTTTAAAAAAAAATTCAAAATTTTTATAGGTTATTTGAAAAATAAAAAAACTAAATACAGTAACATAATTTCTAATTTGTAAACATTTAGGAAATTTTAAAAATATTACTATTTAAAGAAAAACAGTAAGAAAGCGGAAATAAACTAACTTAAATATAAATGTAATCACTAAATTTTAAAACGGGAAAAATAAAAAATATATCATGTATTTAAGATTATAATTTATAGATAGGAGAGGTAAGAACCTCTGCTATATGCAGAGTTCTCTCTAGAAGTAAAAAAGGGCAGGTCGCTTTCTCTCTGAAAAAGGCACTTTGAGTTTTGAAACGGCGCTCACCTAACACCGTTAAATTTTATCAAAATGTGTAATATTATGTAATAACCGAATTTTATCCTCAACAATTTCTAAATTGCCCTTTTTTACTATTTTATGTGTATATTTCAAAAAGTAATTCCCTCACATTATTAAAATAATAGAAAATTTGTAGTTTATAAAAATAAATGAAGGCATGCTAAAAAGCAATCTCTGTGTAAATTTTTTTCTTTCAAAAATTCATTTCCTTGTTGACACCAATAATTTTAACATGAGGGCCTGCAATAAAAATTAAATTGTACGTTCATTGGTCAGTAGTAATTTTCTATAAAGTAACAATTTTTTTAAAGTGTTTACAATTTACAATTTTCTCTTTCTCTTTAAAAACAGTTAAAAAATTGAATTTTTTTAAAAAAAAATCTTTAATAATTTTTTGTTACAGAACTTTTATGTAGGAAAATGTTATAAAATTTTTGACTTTCAAAGTGGGTGGGGAGCAAAAAAATGTTGGTAACCTATGCTATATCATGCTATTACATTGACAGATATTTTGATCCATTGGCAACATGGCTCACATAGTTTGCATTTGCAGCAAAGCCAGATAAGCTAAGCCATAGGGTATTGAATGGAGTCTCACCTTTTATTTTTTGTTTCTCTAAGTTAATAGAGGAAATTTTCTTAGAAAGTTGTCTATCAATATTAATCTTATCTTTTGTATTTGAAATTTTGTAATGCTAGGTTTTGTTTTTGTTTTTTGAAAAGAGATTCAAATTTTTTAGCTCTTGTATATTTGCATATATTTTTTAAAAAGTATATTTGCACATAACAAGATTTTATTTTTCTTCATGGAAAACAAAAATTATTCATTAAATTTGATTATTTTTTCTCTCGATATTTGAGCCGAAAGTTTGCATTTAACTTATGGTATTTTTGGAGATGAAGGGTGGTGTATCTTGCTTTTAAACCAATATTTTTTTCAGTGATTATCCATGATATCAGAAAAATATCCATGATATAAATATCATGATATCCATGACTATACTCAAACCAATTATCAAGTTTCAACTTCATAGGTTTATAAAGTAATCCTGCGCCCCTAAACGAAAAAAAANAAAAAAAAAAATACGGATTTAAAGAAAAAACATTTTCGAAAAGTTGGAACAATAGTATAGAAACCAATAAATAATTCAAAATTTATATAAAAAAAAAATATCGTTTGCTACTTTATAGATAATTCATTTACTCCTATGAAAACAAAATGGAAATTGAATTAATCGTTACTAAAACCTCGAATTGCCAAGATTGCAAAATATGGTTTTTAATGAAATGCGAATGTGGTTGGAATTCTATTTTAATTGTAAAAGGCTGTTTACATTCGTCGTCCAGACTCCACATATAGAAGTTATCCATTTAATCTTTTTTTTTTTGAACAGTGCCTTTTCTCGACATGTTTTTTGTGTTTGCGAAAGAAGTTTTGTCTCTGATGTCGTCAACTGCATTAGAAAGCGGGAACACTGTTATATATATTATTAATCTAATGCTGAAATCCTAATATAAAATCTGTTTAAATTGAAATCTAATTACTTTTAAAAACAAATGAATGAATATACTCTGGAGAAAGCTCATTTTTACTAAAAATTTTTTTTAAATCCTTATACGCCTTGATTTAAAAAAGCGCTGCGTCATTTTTAATTTGTATAGAGATTCATTTTTTTTTTAAATTTCACAATGATGGTGAAATCACACACACGCATTATTTAATGTAAACTTTAAGGAAATCTATGATTTTTTCCTTTAGATATTTTTTTATAAAATAAAAGTGTACTTTCGCATCTTATATCATTTCCTAGTGTCATTAATACTATTTCTGAGCGAATACTATTCTCTGATTTCCTAAGTACTAAGTTGCAGAACTAATTTTTAAATTTGGTTCATGTAATATAAATTTGTTTAAATGCGCATTTATTTATTGCTTAGGGGTGCACAATCACGGCAGCAATCTGAACAAAAAAAAATTTTTTTTTTTTGAAAAATAAAAAAGGTTTTGGAGATGTGAAGTTGCGAATTTTAGCTTTTGACGCACCCAATCTCAATTAATGTAGTTTTTCGATTCGTTTTTTTTCGATGATTAACGCTATGGATTTACTCACAATTGTGAAAATCTCAATATTTTTAATATGACATTATTACGATACATGAATTTCGAATTTTAGCTATCACCTTTGATGCACTTCGCGTGTGACGATTTCATCGTAAATCCAATGACTTTTTGGTAGTTTCTACTATCCATTTTAATGCACTTTCTGAAATCGGGATTTTTTAAAATATGTTTTAACGTCTTGAAAGTTGTAAAAGGCTTTATTTGCGCTAACTTCATCTCAAATTTGGCAGTTATTGCTATGCTTTTCCACGTGGTTTTTAAAATTTCAATATTTTTAGCCCGATATTATTACGAATCGCGAGTAACAAATCGGTTATTTCCATAACCATTTTTTGACTTGGCTTATTTGTGACAATTTTATCGCCAATCAAATTATTTTTCAATCGTAAATTTGGCAATTATTGTTTCACATTTCTGCAAGTTTTTGAAAGTTCCGATATTTTTTTATACGAAATTTTAATTTCTAATCCCGCATTTAAATACATCACTTTTTGAAGCGCTGTATTTATGCCGATTTTCTCATAAATATAAAGGGATTTTGATAGTTTTTTCGGCAGTCATTACTACTTTTTTCGCGATTTAAAAAATCCCGATATTTTTAATACGGCACGCGAGTTTTGAATCGTGCATTCAAATAATCACTTTTTACGTGCTCTACTATTTGTGCTAATTTTAACATAAATATAAGAAGTTTTTTCGAAATTTTTTTCGCCCGTTTTTACTACATTTTTACTAGGTATTTTGAATATCCTGATATTTTAACACAATATTACAACTCGTGAAATTAGATTCTGTTTCATATTTTTACTTTAAAAGTAATTACGTATCTTAGCAAAATCGACACCTTCCCAGATAAAGTAGAAAAGAAAAGAAATACGAGATGTGTAAATTTATATTAAACATGGTCCCTTTTGCAGAAAAAAAATTCAAAACACGTGCATATTTCTTTAGTCCCATGAACACGTGCGAGTTGAACAACACACACACAACCTATTCTTTTTCGTTTTCACATGATTTCTAAGTTTAATATTGCGATTCATATTTACGTGCTTTAAGAATCATACATTTTGTTTCTTCTCGCAATTCAAAAGTTCGTTTTCACGTGATTTAAAAATCATACATCTCGATTCGTATTCAAGCGATTTAAAAATAACGCATCGCTACTCGTATTCACGGGACTTAAAGATCAGGATAGGAAGAGCACCACCTGGGACGAATTCCCAAAACTGATTAAGTTATTTGCCCTAACTTTAATATTGCCCACAACAACAGCTTCCCTAGAAAGACTGTTTTCCAGAATGAATTTGGCATGTTCAAAATTAAGAAGCAGTTTTAAACAAAATCATCAAATTTTCATTTAATGGCCGGAAAAGCTATCTCATGATTAAGTAGATAAAATTATCACATTATTTGAAAATTTTGCAATCAGGATAACCATTAAGAAATTTTTTAAACCATTTTCTGCCAACATGAACCATTTTATATCGTTTATGATCATATGCTGGGAAATGATTTGTATATCATGAAATTTTAACTGTAAAAAACGTAATCATGATAACTATCGTAAAGTAATGTAAATCTTAATTGTTATCATATATGTGTATTAATTGTAAATAGTAAGTGTCATGTTAAAAAAGTATTGGTCATAAAGAGTTGAAAACAAGAATCTTAATAGTTATTTTTAAAATTATTGTTATTTAGGAAAATAGTTCCTTTAAAATTTGTTTTCTTTCTTTTTCTTTCCTTTCTCCGCCCCTGCCTTATAATTTAATTTACTTAAAATAAAAATGTTTTAAAATTGAAGTATATTCTGCACTGAAAGGTTTTATTTTAATTTTAATCATTTTTAATCCAAGTATTTAACTTGCATTTGTTTTAATAACTAGTATATTTATTTGTTTTAAAATTTAATTCTATGAGCACTAAAATTTTTTAAAGTTAAAATTTATGTTTAAATGAACTTTTGTATTATGTAATGTGATAAAAAGACCAACGAATTTTCCCATTGTTTTTAATTATTTCAATTTATCTGAATTTTTTCCCTGAAAAATAAATTTTGATTTTCAGATTAATTTTTTCTCTCTAAGTAATCAGTTTTATAGTTTCTTATTTTAAACATTTGAAAGTATTTAATTTTATTCAAACATATTACAATTGATAAAAATAATTAAGTGCTTAGAATAATTACTACCTACAGTAACTTTCAGCATGTCTGTCTAAATACGTTGTTATGCGGCCCCTCATTGGTCAATTTGCTCTGCATGTGGCCCATCACTCAAAAAGGTTCTGCACCCCTATGTTACATAATAATATAAGTTAATGCATATACTAATTATATATAATATATAAACTTATTTTATATTAAAATTATATATATTTTTGGATGATGAACAATCCTTATTAAATTATTTATTAATACTTTTATAAAGATTCGTGCTATTCTGGAAATCAAGGCTTTAGTGAATAGTTATTTTTTCCTTTATTTTCAATTGTGGGGGATCAGCTCTGTATCTAAGTTTATGAATAGAGAAGTAATAAGCAGGGGTTGAAATTTAAAAAAAATAAATACCCATTGATCCAAAGGACCAGTAGCTGAAAGTCATTACTTGTCCGTTTGCATTTTCATTGGTTCGTTTGTGTGTCTCTATTAGATTTTTTAAAAATTTACTTTATTAAAAGTTAATTGAGCTTAAATGAAAAATTACAATACAGAGAATGTTCAATGTTCACAATTAAAAAGAGATGTGCTATTTTGTGACAGGAACAGAGAACAAAACCCGAAACCAAAACATACATCGAATGCTGGTTTGTGGGTCCACAGATAATTTATTTTATGGTAATCCTAGTCAAATTTAAGTGGTCCTAGACGAACTGATCATCGTTAATTTCCAGCTTTGTGAAGCATAAATACTTGAAAGATGAATCGGTTAATTCTGTAATTTACTTAAAATATAAAAAAAAAAGAATCTAAATTTTTTATTTATTTACATTTTGCATCTGGTTAGTAAATGTGCCTGAACTAATCTCAAGGTGTTAAAATCTCTGAATGAATCAGATTTTATGTATCACGTCACATTCTTTTGATAAATAGGGATGATACAAGTAAATTAATATTAACGGCAATTTCAACATCTTGCTTGAAGTTATGAAGCCGTTAACTCCATGCCCCCTTATCATCAATTAGCTGTTGTAGGAAAAGGGAGCTCTAATTTATTTTTTATTTTTTATAAACGAAATATAAATATTTATCAACAGATTTTAACTCCGTATTCTTAATAACAGTAAAAATAACACCTGTAGAAAAAATTATGTCGTTTGGAATTTTTAAATTGTTATAGAACAGGCCTCCCTCCACAAATATGCTCTGACAAGTCTGATTGAGAGAAAAAAAATAATATAACAATAACAAATTTCTGTTACTATTAAAACCTCTCAGTTATTTCGTCAAATGTTTTGTAAAACTTCAAATTTTAAAGACAAAATTAACCTTGGGAACCGTCTGGAGTTGCATGTTATATGGATTATCTCTCACCAAAAAGGATTTAAAAAAAATCCTCCTCCCACAGAATTAAAGATCCAGTTCCAGACCAACTAAAACGCTGGTTTTATATGTACTTTTTGTTCTTGTGAGGATGAGTTAAGAAATATCTCCTCCCAATGTTAAAAAATATTTCCAAAGCTATTTTCCAGTTATAAAATGGCTACCTTTGGCCACCTTTGATACCCTCTTTGCTTATTGGAAATGATAAACTAAAACTAACAGACACAGATAAGAAATCTAGTATTTTTCTGTAACAATTACTAGTTAGTTCTATATAACTGTGCATAAAAACAAACCCTTATTATTTCTTCCGTTTTTATATAGTCACACTTCCGCAACCTTTCTACTTGACTTCCGCCGGTTTTTCTTTTTTACGTCGAGTTACGGTTTTAACCTTCCGAGTTATGAATTGGCATGTAGAAATTACACTGGCTATTGACTCTAAAGGCCTGCGGGCCTAAGTCCGGTTTCCTTGGAATGCTGTGATGAAGGTCACGGCCAATAGTTATGCACAGTCAGTCGCTCTTTTATTTTAAATATTTGTCTCATTCTTTCACAACCCTTTCTAGGGTAATTATTTGTGAGGTGTATTTTTAGCTTATTTTCTGTTTATTTTTATTTAACTTTAAACCGAATTTATTTCTCAATTTCAATGATATCTAATAATGTTTTCCCTCTAATTATTGCATTATAGTAAATATAGTTCATGTATACAGTGCTTAAAAGGTTTTGTTTATTTTATGGGATTTATAACAAACCTACAATACTCATGGGCATTATTTACATTTGAATGGAATATACCGGATCCTTTATGTCCATGCGTTATCCTTTGTTTTCCTTGTAAAATTTAGTTTTTAATAATAACCACGTAATGTAATTTTGCTCAAAAAATTCCAATTGCGATAAATTAACCATACTCCATGCCGCAATTTCCACACTTGAAGAAAATAATTCGGTTGTTTGAGAATTAATTGTGAAAAAAAAAGTATCTTATCTTATAAAAATTTAAATGTTTTGAAATTCATCTTCGAATTATTTTTAATAAAGTTTACAAAACAATTAAGTGTTTGATTTTAATTTATTGTTTGCTTTAATTTAGTTTTTATTTTAATAAATTTATTTACTAGTTTTAGAGGCTGATAAAAAAGCATTTTTATTAAAACAAGAATAGTTATTAATAATTCTATTGCTATTCTAAATTATTGATCTGAAAGATTTTTTTCAAAGCCTTAGAATTTAACATTCATTACTATTGGGCCAGCCGTGAAAAAGTTTCGTAGTTTTTCTCACTAAGTAGCGCAAGTGTGGGTTAGTTTCACTTATTAAAAAAAAAAAAAAAAAAACGAGTTCGGCAAGTATGTTGTGTTAGTACAGCCGCGGTGGTTCAGAGGGTAGAGCGTTCCAAAACTGAAAACTGTATTATTTTTAAACTAAAGCGAAATCTAAAATGGGGTCGTTAAAATATTACATAGGCAAGTTTTCGGTAATTTTGAACCCCATTCTCACAAAATGAGATTACAAGCCCCTTTCCATAGAGCAGAGCCGTGGTGGCTTAGGAGATAAGAGAGCTCTTCTCCTAATGAGGTGATCCAGGTTTGAATCCCAGCTTTGACTGATCGATACAAATTCTGCTCCTGACTCGCACCGACCACATTGTTTACGTAAAATATCCTTATTGGTAGATGGATTATAGGCTATAATCCGCTTGTCTTTGGGCTATCCGTGGGAGATTTTCGTGGTTTTCGTCTCCACGAGACGTTGACGCTGGTTAGTGCCATCAAAAAGTACCTCACGAAAGCCAGTTCCAATGCTTGCTGGAGTTGGCTCGATTGGCTCCAGAATTGCAGGGTTACGGAGTTGAACATTGAACTCAGAGTTCAGCTGTTCAAAGCCGGTTATATATATATAACCGGCTANCGACCCAAAGTGGGGTTGAACGCTCATCCCATAGTAAAAAAAAAGTGGGGTTGAACGCTCATCCCATAGTAAAAAAAGTGGGGTTGAACGCTCAATTTTCCCCTACTGGGGACAATCCCCGGAAATCGGGGACGTCTGGTCACCCTAGGTATAAAGTATCCTCATTGGGAAACTTATCTTAGAATCTCCCTACCTTCGTGCTAACCATAGGTGGTTTTCCTTTCCATGGGACGCCTGACCCAATGTTTGATCTGGGAGTTTCCATTGTCTTCTGGATTGGGTTCAAAATTGAAAGGCTACCGAATTCAATATTGTTATCGTAAACAGTTCAAGCGACGGTTCAAGGCCAGTTATAAAAATGAAATAAACTAGTTTTAATCTGAATTTAGAATTAAATTTAACTAAACAAAATTAAATTAAATTTAGAACTAGAAGAACTAAAAATGAAAAATTATAGTATGCTGCTGGTTTTAACCCAGAAAAATTTTCATTTTCTAAAGCTAAGTGTCTCACCTTTATTTGGGGCGTTAAGATATAGAGCACGCCTCTGTATCATCGCAAAAATGACTCCGTGTTGTAAGTAAAATTTAAGAGTTCATGTAAGGAGTTGTCTTCCAGCTCATTGGTAGGCGAGACACTTGCAGTTAAGAAAAAGAAAAAGAAAAATTGACAGTGTGTGAGACATGAAAAAGTTGAAGTAAATGTTTCCTGTCCATCTTCATTTTGAGCCTTAAAAGGGAACTATCTTTTTGCTAAACTAGTATAATGCTGACCTTTGTCTTTTTTAAATGAAGTTCTTTTCACCTTGGTTTTTGTTATTTTTTGGTATTGAAGCATTTTATGTTTTCAAATTAACTATAATTATGAGAGGAGAATAAGCTTACTTAGATAATTAGAGATTAAGAGAGCTTAGGGATTAATCTTGGAAAATAGCTTACGCAGATATTAAAATTAGATGAATAAAAATATTTTTTCTTTTCTATTTTTTGAGGATCCTTAAATAGCTACCAAGTAAAGTTTTGTATTTCTCTATTCAGAGCAAATTTTTCCATTTCGGGAAATAAAAAATATATAGACGGTAACTAAATTATTTCATTCTTAGATTTATTTGGGAGAGGCAAAACATTCGTATACATCAAAATATAACAGTAATATAATTGTAACTATTTCGATTTGAAATTGCTTAATGAAAGTGTGATTAAAAAATAAAAGAAAATATTCACTTACTTTAAGTGGAACCGTACAGCCATTTTCTTCATAAATTAACTTTTCATATCACTGCAAAAAAAGTGATTTCAGGGCAGGAAATCATTTTTGTACTAAATCGTTTTCGTTTTTAAAAGCTAGAAATAAATAAACTAAATAAATAAAAGAACCAAATTTTTCGGAAGAATATTTAAATGATGTCTTAAATTACATCCACAAATTTCCGAAGGTCAGCTTTCACCTTTTTTTAAAATCATGCTTTTACCTGTCTGTGAATCGGTAATGCGGCTTTGTATGTGCCTTTATTTCTCATGAAACTTTTTAGTCGTTTTTCACAAAAATTCATATTCCAGATTTCCACTTGTTATTTTATAAATTTTCATTGGACCAATTAGCTTTTTAAATAACGAGAGTAATGCTTTGTGATAAAATTCTTTCATTTGTGTTAAAAAACGTTTAACAATCACAAATAGTAAAATTTTATTAAATATCTTAAGTCGTTTTAGTCTCATTAAATCGTCTCGACTGTAGCCTGAACCCATGTAGCAGAATTTACAAAGTCAATCTTCAGCACTATAATCTCATAAATTCAAATTTGTTTTCGATCCTAACACAATTAAGGCAGATATTATTAATGTAAAAATTAAACCTAATTTAACAAGTGGACAGTAAAATTATAACATTTAGGGTAGATAAAAAACACCGTTAAAAGTTGATATGTTTAATTTTTTTTTGTCGTATGCATATGTTTAATTAAAATTTATGTATATNTATATAATCTATAAATAAGCAACTAGAGTTTTCGGAAATTAAGTATGTATTTTTTAAATTTTTTTATGTCATTTAAATTATTTATTTTTGAAAATTCTAGTTAATTAAATTCAATTATTCAGAATTTTTGAAAGCCATCACCTTTCGCTTATATTCAATATCCTATAATAATGGAAGAGACACTTTCAATTTTTGACATTTTTTTTAAAAAATTTCTCAAAAAATACTTAGAAAATCATTTCGTAACTTTAGCGGTGTTTAGTTCATACAACTTTTCATACTTAGCAAAATGGTTTTAAGTTTTCATAAGTTTAAGGGACCAACAATAAATTACGAAAGAAAACAAGTGTTTTTGACAATCAATAACAGAAAATCAAGCTATAAGCTTATAACTTGTATCAATTACTTTAGTAGTTATTTTCAGTAACTGCATGGAATTTCGTTTACTTCGCTTAAATATTTATTGAGATATGAATATTTTTTTTTTATAAAAAACTTATTTTTTGTCTCATGTTTTTTGCTATAACTTTAAAAGTATTAAATAAAATTAAAACTTTTAAAGCAATTAAATTTAATTAGAAAATTATTGCTTTAAAATTTGATGAAAAAAAATTAATTAAAAATTTGGCAATATATGAGCATATAAAGTATTTTTTGTTATAATAAAAAAACGAATTTTATATTTGTGTGCAAATATTTTTTAATTAAAAACTTCTCGAGATGTAGCGAAATGCGCAAAAGTGAAATTAACATTAAGGGGTTCAAACTTTGGAGCGCTCTCCTGACCAAACTATTGGGACCATATTTCCCAAATTGCAGTTACCCCCTATATTTTGGGGGTCATAAATCTGAATCCACGAAAACAAGTATGTTTATTCTGAGAAAGTGCGTTTTTGTGCCTGATTTCGTAACTTATAATATCGTCTGCACTTATTAATTAGCATATTTGAGGTCACCCCCTTCGAGCTTTTTAGATTGAGTCCTAGAACGTGAAGAACCGATCAAAAGTTATTTAGGGTAGACCTTTTTTTTTCTTCTTTTTCCCCACACTGTACCAGTGTCAGTTAATGTGAAAAAAATTTCATTAATTTTTGATAATTCCTCCAAAGTATTTCAGTTTCTAAAAGCATTCGTGTATATTTTGCATTTAAATTTCTCCGACAAATTGATTATGCCTTTGTTAAACCATCAAATTATTAGAGTTAATTGTTTTAAAACTTTGTTATAAAGTTAATTATCATGAAAACCAAATTCACTGCTCTTCCCCATCCCCGAAAGCAAAATCGTTTTTCATTCTTTTTTTCTTTCTTTCTGATTGGTCTTCCGATATAGGTTATGCATGAACCTCAAACACCAACCTTTCTAAAATAGGGCATCCGAATACTATAATTTCCACTTTTGAAGTATTAATATGTATCAAAATAAAGCCATTTATAACGAATTATTTTATTAGTTAAATGCATTTAATATCTTGAAATAATAATTAATTTCACTGAGTAGAATCTGTCTAGTTATCATATAAATCTAAATACTTAATTTTATAATAACTATGTAACTTTATAACTATAACTTTTCAAAACGAGGAAGTAAATAATAAAACAGTAAAAAAAGCTGTAAGTCATAAAAATAATCTTTACATTTTAAGCAATTTTCTCTCTCTCTATCCCTCCTTTCTTTTTCAATAATAAATGAACAGTTGGTCCTCGTATGCTTGTTATAGTGAAAGACAGAGTACAGGTAAGGAAGAAAAAGAAAATATGTTTTTGTGTAGTATACCGTGACTTATAAAGAGTGAGGCAACAACACGTGACTTCATAGAATGCATGAATGGACTGCAAAAACGGCATTAAGAGTATCTTTCCGAATTATTTAAGTTATTTCATAACTGTCGTCGATAAAACAAACATGTTTTGAATATAAGGCCTCTGAATAAAAACAACAGTCAAATAGTTCGTAGAACTTTGAATGGAGAAAATTATATAGTTGAATTTTTTTTTTCTCTGTGTGTGCTTTGGCATTTTGAAAAAAGTTTCTAAGTTTTCTTTTTTTTTCTTTCCCTAATGTTTTGAAAGCGTTTCACAGTGTCTTATTTATTTTTTATTTTTCGAAATATTGAAGTGTAGTGATGCTTTAACCAAAGGTTTCTTAAACTTCTGATATATTTGGTAACGAAAGAATTATCTCCAAATTTATTCTGCAACGATACCACTTCCGTCAAACAGGCTACAAGGCACGCTGGTAAAAAGTTTTGCTGAAAAATTATTTTTGCACCTACAAAGTTGAGTTTGTTTCTTGAAATGAACACGAGTCCTACGACTTGGACTGCCCAGTGATCTTTCCTTCTTTTTTTATATTAACGTTCGACTTAATTTAAAACAACACCGTTTGATCAGCTTGCATAGAATATAAATTTCACTTAGACTTGGCGCTGTTTAGTCCATTCTAGCTTCTGTGCCATTAGACTCTATATTCAACTGAACATAGTAAATGTGGATGAAGATTATTTTGCTAACTTTGACATACTATTGCTTGTTAATTTCTTAGCAACAAAACCTTTCATTTCAAAGTTTTGTTTAACAGTTAAAAGCACATATACTCAATTAGCTTTTTCAGGTACTGAGTTTTTTCTAAGGTGTCTGGTTATGAAAATCTTTCTGAAGTCCAAAATCATGCATAAAATTGCAAACATTGCCCTAAGATACCTCAAAATGTTCCAGCTTGGTTGCTCCGATATTTTTACGCGGGATTTAAAGTACACTTGTGTGATACAGACTATCTAATATTTGCTGCCAAAATACGAGCAAGCGATTGAACTTAGTTATCAGATTTATTTTGGGTGTTATTGCTCATCAAAGCCGGAAAGTTAGTTCTCATTCATCCTGTATAATGTTTATACAGTATGGTGCGTTGAAATATAAACCTTTTTGCCGTAGTGCGGAGAGGTTATCTTCTACCATTATTAAGAAGTATTCAAAATCCTTTAACTCAGAACCTATATCATCTGTTGCCTTAATGAGTCAAAATTATGAAAATTGGCTAAAACTGTTCTAATTTTAAAAAAAATTATTTTAAAAATAACAGATTTTGTTGATCGGCTTGTAAAAGCTCTTAGAATTTTGCGCTTTTGGACCAGAATATCTTTACAAAAGTTTAGAACTTTTAACTGAATATCTTCCTCTCTTTCAATTGAGCAATAGAACTTCGCTGCCTTTAATTAGTCAGTGATGTTAGTAACTTTTAAGCATTATCGTTAGTCGATCAACAAAATTAATAATTTTTTGAATTTTAGTCAGATTTTCCCAAATTTTTGGCCCCTCATAAAATTTTGCATCCTTCGTAAGTGGTGGTTAAAAACTTTACAGCTAAAAGATTTTCGTTCCACCCTTATAAACGTATTGATATAGAAATCGTCTGTCAACATGCCAAAATATCTCTTTCACTTTTAAAGTTATACTTTACCTTTTAAAAAGATTCGAAATTATGGGGTATTTTTGTAGAAAAAAAAAAGCAAACTAACATTTGGTTCAATTTAGACAACTTTGCTAATCTGTCTAGTATCTTTTGAATAAAAAAGAGCAGTAGAGCTCTCAAAAATTATAAATGTTACATAGAGATATGTAATAAAGTAACTGAAATCATTGTTTAACTTTATAAAACATAAGCTTATTCTATTTATCTTCCAGGAAACTTGTTATCATCTCTGTCTCTAATATTTTATATTCGAAATAGTGTATGTGAATCACGTGCAGTTGTAAGGTTCACTAACTCTGTAACTTGCATGGCATATTAAGTATGTGAGTCAGAACTGTGACTTCAAAATATTGTAAACAATTGGCCCGTTAATTATCTCTCTATTCATGTGTATTTCAAAAAGAAACATAAAAATTCGAGTAATTGCTAATTTAGAAATGTTATTATGCTGAATAGTCTAAAAATTATAAAAACGCACACAATCGTCCGGCGAAAATACAATTTGTACTATCAGAAAAAGGCTTTTCACCGTTTGGAGATTTTCTTTTTTGAGCCTTTGAAAATAAAATAATGCCTCAACAATTTTGTACTTATAAATTTTATTATTTGTTTAGTATTTTGTAAAAATAAAGTGTTTTTTTTTAAAAAAAAATTTATTACATGTTTATCTTAAATATTTTGCATTTTTTTTTCTGAAGAAGTAATTTTTTTTAAATATTTTTGAGTTTTGCTACAATTACAATTAACGATAACCTTAAATGATGTAAAGACCCATCAAATGCAAAGTTCATCGCTGGTGCAATCAATTTTAGCACTGCTCGTATATTTGATTAAAAGTTGGAACTGTGATGTTTAACCCTCTGCGGTTATTGGCGGCTGAGAGAAGCCACACGACCGCAAATGGTTAATCTTGGAGTCTAACTAAATATCTGGCACAAGCGTTGCAAAATTTACGTAGTTGAAAGCCTTTTTAGTGCTATATGGAAGTTATACAATTTGTGTTATTTTCATAAAACTAAACGTGAAAAAATAATAAAAAGGGTTCAAAAATAGAAAAGGTACAAATAACACTAATTACACTTCCATGGCGACTTTTTTACTCTGTGTCAGCATCGTGACTTCCATAAAGTAGTACCTTAATCCATTTCTCTTCTATATTTTATTTTTAATTTATTTCAAAACAGCCTTTTCTTCACCTTTTTTTTAAATTCTCACTTTTATCTGTATTTATTATTCTATGAATTTTTTATACGCTGGGCGCGGATGTTTTATGTTCATAATATTGCGTAAAATAAGCGATTGTTTTTTGTTGATTAAAGAGGATAATAACATTCTTCACTATTGCTACTGTCTTAGCCGCTTTAAGAAAAGACATGGTCTGGTGAAAAACACAATAACAAATTGTTGATGACCTTGATGTTTTCTTTTTTCTTTCTTTTGCATTTATAGCCACATTTTTAACTCTTCTAACTAATTTCTTGCTTTTCCACTAATGGTGGAATTTTTCTCATTGTTTAAATAATTACTTCCTGGTTTAGCAAGTCCTCTTTTAAATACCGTAGATTATTTTAATTGCAATAAATATCAGAAAAGAAAAAAAAAAGGAGCCGAAACAGGATCTGTTTAGAAGCACTTAAAATATTAATGTTTATATGAATAATTTTAATATTACTGTTAAAGTAAATGAATGAACAATAAAACAATTACGATTATTTACATCCTACTTGACTTTTTAATTTTGAATATAAATTCAATTTTGTTTTTATTACCTTGAGTTTCACTTGCAGTCAGAATATTTAGTTTTTAATTAGAAAATAAAGAATTTAAGTTTAGTTGTTAACCCTTTTTATTAAACATATTTTTCATACTTTTTTGGATTATTTTGTATTAATTTTGATCAAAATAAGTAAAACACATTACATTTAGCATTTTAATAATTTAGGATTATGAAATACAGCATGAAACACCCGTGTCTTTTTCTGCGTTAAATATAAAATCTTCCAAACACGGCTAACTTCCAAAACAATTTTTCGAATTTTCTGTTATTTAGATCTAAGAGAAACAGTTATTCATCATAAATTTTTTTTAAAAATTTACGTAAACTTTATTGATAAATTTTTGTATATGTATGAAAAGAAAATTTTTCCAACTGCTTTTTTTTGGATTTTATATTTTAGTACAAATATTATTTCGGTAATTTGACAGATTTTTTGAGTAACTATTAGACTGTTTTTTTAATAAGGATACAAAAATATATCTTTACCTGTAATTAGAGCGTCAAGGATGGATATATATATATATATATATNCTTACGCCGCGCTGAAATAACATCTATTATACGCTGAAATACATCTATTTAAGAAGATAAAACTCATGCTATATATATATAAATAGAAGGGACTTCCCTCTGCTTCAAAGGGTTAAACATTTTTTTTAAAGAAAAGAAGAAAAAAAAACTAATCCATGCAATTTTGTGTATTTAGAAGTTTTGTGTATTTTAATTTCAGTATTTCCGCTTTTCAAGTATTTGCAAAAATACCCATCATTCTGATTATGTTTGTATTCCTTAGGTATTTCTTCTTTTAATTTCTTATAATGCAAAAAAATGTAAACAATAAATTGGAAGTTATTCGGCTTCCTGAATATCTTAATTATTCGACCTTGCTGAATATTCAATAGACCGAATAATTTGACATGCGGCCACCAGGTTTTGCTATTTCTCCGGAAAATAAAAGAAGTAAAAAACTGGCAGCAAAGCCATTTCATTTATATTACATTTTCAGAAAGAATCAAATATTTCCAGGTAGGAAATAGTGTTATAACTCTTAATAAGTTATTGATATTTTATTCCTCACGAAAACAAGTTAGAAATAAAAAGGTTTTACTCTTTCATACCAAATTTTTCTCGTTTCCTGAGAAATTACAACACTGAGCATAACCCATATTCGGTATGGTATGGGTGACAGAATACCGAATAGTAACCAAATATTTAGCATATTTTATTAGATAAATTAGAGGTTACTGAAATGTAAAGCATAAAATAGTCTATTTTAACTTTACCTGTAATACTGATAAATTATATGATACCTGCAATACCGATAAATTCAACCATAGAGTATAAACATTTGTTGATTTTATTCCCGAACACTCTCTCTTGTTTCTATCTCAATCAAGTAAGTAGTTTCATATGACCTTAAAAAAGATAACAGTTCAATCTTGAATCAGATTAAGTAAGATTTTTGTTGAAGTGCCACCTTTTGACGCTCATCTGAATAAATTTTGATCTAGTTTTTTTTTCCCGACAGTTCGGATTTTGAGTCATATGGTTAATTTAACTTTTTCCGTGTTTCACCATAGTATCTATAAACTATTTAGGCTAATCGTTTTTAATACACATATTTAAAACTCTTTAATCCAAATCTAATTCCATATATTTTTTTTATTAATTATTTTTATTTATTTAATTCAATAATATTCGAAAAATCGAAAAAAAAAGTTTTTTTTTTGAATCTATAAAAATTTTTACACTTCTTTAAACTGCGAAATTTTAAATGATAAAAGCTAATTGAATGTATTAGGCCGTATAATTCTTGAGAAAAAAATCATTGATCAGAAACCATTCAAATGATTTTGTATTTTGGCATTTAAAATTACATATTTCAAATTCGTATTTTTTTTAGTTCAAAAACTTTAACGACCATTGTTATATTAAATAATAAAAAATAATACGAAAAAATATTTCTCCTTAAACTACCTTGGAATAAACAAGTTTGACAATTGCGTGCAAAATTTTTTTTATTAAGAAAGTTTAAATAGTTATCGTGATATGGCGAGAAACAGAAAGAAAATTTAACTCAACTTTCGACCTCTCTCCTGACTAAATTATTCGGACAATATTTTCTAGAGCACTGCTATCCCGGATATTTTGAAGGTCAAAAATGGAAATCCGTTCAAAAAATGGTATGTTTATTTAAAGAAACTGCGTTTTCTGTCCGATTTTGTAATTTCTAAATACCTTTTGCTCAAATTAATTAGCATATTTAGGATTAGACTTAGACCGCTGAATCGTAAGGGTTGCGTTTTCATTAGATCAAAATTTATGAAAATGTTCTATTTATTATTTTGCGCACTGTTGATTTTTTTTCTTCACCCTTTTATGTTTAATTTAGAATACTCACTTGCAAACTTCTAAGTCTTCGTCTTTTATGTTTTCATTATTTTTATTTTTACATTTTTAAGGATATTTGAAGCATCTCTTTAATATCAGTTTGATTATTAACAGTCNTTTGCGTGTTTCACCATAGTATCTATAAACTATTTAGTCTAATCGTTTTTAATACACATATTTAAAACTCTTTAATACAAATCTAATTCCATATATTTTTTTTATTAATTATTATTTTTTATTTAATTCAGTAATATTCGAAAAATCGAAAAAAAAAATTATTTTTTTGAATCTATAAAAATTTTTACACTACTTTAAACTGCGAAATTTTAAATGATAAAAGCTAATTGAATGTATTAGGCCGTATAGTTCTTGAGAAAAAAATCATTGATCAGAAACCATTCAAATGATTTTGTATTTTGGCATTTAAAATTACATATTTCAAATTCGTATTTTTTTTAGTTCAAAAACTTTAACGACCATTGTTATATTAAATAATAAAAAATAATACGAAAAAATATTTCTCCTTAAACTATATTGGAATAAACAAGTTTGACAATTGCGTGCAAAAATTTTTTTAGTAAAAAAGTTTAAATAGTTATCGTGATATGGCGAGAAACACAAAGAAAAATTAACTCATCTTTCGACCTCTCTCCTGACTAAACTATTCGGACCATATTTTCTAGAGCACTGCTTTCTCGGATATTTTAAAGGTCAAAAATGTAAATCCGTCCAAAAAATGGTATGTTTATTTAAAGAAACTGCTTTTTCTGTCCGATTTTATAATTTCTAAATACCTTTTGCTCAAATTAATTAACATATTTAGGATTAGACTTAGACCGTTGAATCATAAAGATTGCGTCTTCATTAGATCAAAATTTATGAAGATGTTCTATTTATTATTTTGCGCACTGTCGATCTTTTTTCACCTTTTTATGTTTAATTTAGAATACTCACTTGCAAACTTCAAAGTCTTCGTCTTTCATTTTTACATTTTTATGGATATTTTCAGCATTTCTTTAATGTCAGTTTGGTTATTAAGAGTCACGGAATTTGTTGTTTATTCACAAGGTTCTACAAACCTATAAACTTCAGAAATCGATTATATTATATTTTGAAAGAATTTCAGCTTTATCCAATTAATTTTAATGGTTCATGGAACTGTTGTTTATTTAAAAGTTATTGTTTATTAAGTGGTTGTTTATTTATTATTTTATGTTATATGTTTAACAGAGAAACATCAGTTTTGCGTAAAGAAATGCGTATATTTAACTTTTAAATTTTGTCTAGCAGCCGTAAAATTAACGTAAAACAGAAACGTTCGATTTTAGCAAAAGTGGTTAGCTAAAAAACAGAAAATTTACTTTAGTTACGTTCGTAAAATAGCCTAACGTAAAAAAGATCTGTTATTTTGCGTAGATTTTACTTAACACTTTTTACAAGGTTAAAATGCGTGCATTATTTCGATATATATATATATATATATATATATAACGGAAATTTACTTAAATATATGCATACATGCACGGCAATTTTTTTATATGGAAACTTCTTTCCTTGACTTATCAAGAAAACTTCTGTAGCCAATTGTTATGTTTTAAATTTAAGAACTTCTTTAAAATGTCTTAAAATAAACTTCTTACTATCAATATTATCACCCTAAGAATTTGTTTGTAAGGAGATAAAACTCCTGAAAATTAAAAAATATATATATATATATTTTCTTCGTGCGTCTTTTAGAATTCACCCCAAAACATCCCGAAATATTAACTTGATCCACTTAGTATAAAAAGAAGTACCAAGTAGATAATGCGAGTTTATAATGTATTAATTGCTTGTGTACTATGAATTAGTTAAAAGTTTGAAAGTATTTATTTCAAAATTTGATGAAAAGATTGTCAAATTGTGAGCTTCAAAACTTCAACTATATCCAATTGTTTTTAGCAGCACGAGAAATGATTTTTATTTCTTTTAAATGTACAAAGATTGATTTTTTCCAAATAATTATGATTATTAGTATTATTATTATTTAAGAATATTTTGACAGGAGATAATTTACCAATAGTTACTATTTTCTGCTATGTTTTTGTCGATACTAGCAATTTAAACGAGAAAACATCGTTTTGTGAAAGAAAAAGTAATTATAAGTTAATCTTCGTTAATCTTTGGATAAGCTCAATTAATAAGTAGCTATGACCCCAGATGCGATAACTGCTTCTTAACTTTTCCTCTATGTCATTTTGAATGTTTAATAAACCAGCTACTGCTAATCTGATTTTACTTTCATTATTGATCATCCGACGTAGTCAGAATTTCTCTGGTGTGTTATTGAACCTATTTAAAGAAGCTACGAATTTACTTTGTAAAACTCATAGCTGGCTGATAGAGCGGAACACTTAATTCTCAAATGAGCCGATTTCAATATTGCTGTTGTCGTCTTACTACTTATTGCTTTGAACTTCTCTAATGGAGCAGTAATTTGGAACCGAAATTCTATGACAATATTCTCGAGGAAGAAGTGTTTTATTCTTCATGAAATTCTATTTCCCAATGTTTTTTTAAAAGCCTTCTCTATTATGATTTGCGTTATAGTAGACGAAGAGCTAAGTGCAAGAAGGTACCACATGACACTATAAAAAAGCGCAACCTTTTGGATTTCAAAACATCTTTCAAATAATAATAAAATATTTTGCTTCTTGGAATTATTTTTTGATAAACGAAATTTATAATTTTGTGTAAAAAATTCTCATTTCGATTAAAAATTAACAAGCTATGGCTTACTACATGGAGCGTGAAATTAAACGTTAGGGGACCCAAGTTATCAGCAGCTCCGGAATGTGGCTAGTCCCTTTATATATATATATATATATATATATATATATA